GCTTTTTTGTCGTGAAAAGAAAACTAAGCTTGTGAAAACAAATAATAACGAAAAATGTGTAATTTTGGAAAAGACTTGCATTTTTAGGCTCTCAACTTCCCTTAAGGGGAGTTCACGTCCAATTTCCCGGACCCTCAAGGGACCGCGAAAACGTCCGGAAAATGTTGCAGTCCGGAAAAACGAATTCACATGAAAATGCACCCTTTTTATGTAGGTATTTTTCTGTGACGGAGAGGGAAATAGCCGGAGTACAAAATTCCCATTGCAATTCAGCCAATGCATCGTTTAGGTGGCTCTAAAAAGAACCAAAAAGCCGTTGATCATAAAGAAAAATATCCGACCTGGCCAGCGCTATCTCATAGGTCAGTACTTAGGCACAAAGAAGTCGCCTATTTTCTTTTGCCCAGCGTTCCGCTTGCCTGCGATCATGTATGCCTCAATTTCAGTCAATGTCATGTTGCCGCTGTACACCGATGACGGTGTCATCAGTGCTCGCGTCAACTCCGAGCTCGTTGGCTGTGTAGGAGGTGGTTCTTCGTTCTCGGTGTCGGAGTTGTCGGAATTCTCCATAACTTGACGAATGATCTCGTCATTGGTCAAGTCCGCACATAGCTCGAGGTTTTTGTCAGCGTCAGCAAAGCCCTGAAAGGTTATCCGGGCTGGAATCTACACGGGGCGGCGCGCAGATCGTCGAAGGCAACATCCGCGGATGGTAGTTCGTCACTCGCCCTGTAGACTTGGGGCGAGACTCTCGGCGTTGAGTGTGAAGCCGTGTGGGGAAAACAGTTCCGTAGAGTCTCTCGCATAACCGCCTTCCACGATTCTGCTAGCATGCCGAGGTCAACAGCGTAGCTTTTCCAATTGTCGGAGCAGAGCACCACGCGGCTGAGCACGTGTGATTTGTAAAGATGCTTCAAGTTCTGAATAACACCATAATCCATCAGCTGCAGGATTTTGTGGTGTTCGGCGGCAGAAATTCAGTCTGTATAGCCTTTAGGTCCTTGATGTGGCCGTGCGCCGCGTAGCTATCCACAAACAGCAGAACTCTTCGATTTTGCTGGTCAAACTATATGTCCAGCTTGCGCACATACGCTTAGCATACCTGCCAAGTCTCCCGGATTGGCCGGGAGACTCCCGGATTTTGGCAGTTTATTCCGGTTGTACGGTTGTCATAAAAATCTCCCAGAAATCGAAATTTCTGTGTCTGATCTGGCCACATTGACAAAAAAGCAGCTCAATCAGCTCCAGGCTTTTTGAGCCTACCCCATTTGATTATGAGTTCAAGAGGCATTTATGTAAACGTACAGTATACTCTCAGTGATGCGAAACCACGGCAGATACGAATTCTTAAATTTCCCAGCCAAGTTTTACACTGTTCATTGGGCCTCAATTCGAATGTTTCGAACACATTTCCTAATCACGGCAAGTGATAGGAACTTTAGTATGGAAACCGTCAAACGAAGGCCGAGAGCAGCGTACTCGAAGCTTTGGAAGTATGCGTGCGACCGGCACACTAGAGTGCATGTGATTGTCGTTGCCACAACCGCCGAGGACGAAACCGCGGTCGCTCTTGACACGGTCATGTATGGTGATGACGTAACTGAGAGAACCCCGAAAGTGTGCACTCAATTAGTCAAAGCAACGCTTCTTTCTGCAAACTCTGTGGACAAACCAGCGGCAGATGCTATCGTAGATGACATAAAACGACTTGGTTTTGAAGGCGCGTGCGCAGCCAAGGGCATGGGTATTGTAAAATGATCTACTACTTGCCACAACCACCACGCAGAAAACGGCGGTCGGGGCGATGCGATAGTGATTTATGAGCTCCGAGGGCACGCAGCGGTAAGTTAAAATTAGTAAATATGTAAAAAATAAAAAAGTTTGCTTTGCCGCAAGGGCGAAGCACTAAATGCGACAGCAGCAACTTGGAATGTAACGCTGAGAACGGCAAGCAGATCGAAACGTGCAGCGCCCTGCTCACACCAAATGACGCACGAAAACGATACTAGCTGGACGAGAGCGAACTAACAGCGTTTACTGCTCGACACGTAGCGCGCTGTTTAAACAAAAACGATTCAAAAACGATAGTCTGAAATGCTTTGCTTCTCTAAAACACAAGATTATGATTTTTGATGTGCACGATACGTAATTACACGTACAGATGAGTACAAACTTAACAAGTGTCCCAGTTGTTATACCTCGCTGTGTATGAAAAGCGCGCTGTTTTCTCAAAAAAGGCCTGTGCCGAGACCAAAGTGACCTTTGTGGGCCCGGCAACTAACGCTTTCGTTTCAGTGAAAGCCAAAAGCACGTGATTCTCCCATCAAAGAATAAGCGCGCGCGCACAATCATCCATCTATGGGGCAAAGTACACGTGAAACATAAGCACGCCTCGGCGCATTGCGACGAGCTCGGCGCCGAGCGTGGGCGGCTTTTTTTCTTTGAGTGTTGATATATATAGATAGGTATACATATACAGTGGCGGTGGCGACAGCAAAAAAAAAAAAAAAAAAAACAGCCAGGTCTGTTCATATAATTGCTATCGCAATAAAAAAGGGCCAGACCCGTTTTGGCGTTCCTGTCAAAAGAATCTAGCAGTGAGCAAAGCTTTGACCCGCGCTTTTGCGGCAGCCAGCAGCGCCGTCCCGTCTTTTCACGTGTGTCCCAGGAAGACTCACCCGAGTTGTTTTGACTCTATTTAAATAGATTCTGCTAGTTGTGTCGATCCTTTGAGACTCTCACCTTAGTGAAAAACTCTACCCTCGTGTGTTCGGCCACTCCTAGCCACTATAAGATTGTAACGCTGGTGCTTGCGCTTGTGCTTGTGATTAAGGCAGACCCCCCACCCCCACCCTCTTTTGTATTTTGCAATGTTTTTTGTTTGTTTGTTTTTTGATCTTGTTTTTTTAATGCCCCCCCCCCCCCCCCATTGCAGAAATCTCCCAGATTCAGAATCCTTGAACTTGGCAGGTATGGCTTAGCATAGCTGCTGCGTTACCCACACCTTCTTGTTAGCTTCATTGAGAGCAGGCAGGGTCACTGCCCCCTTGAAACATCTTGGATGCTTCGACTTGCCTGTTACTAGTAACCGAAGCTTCTCGCTGCCCGACATGTTGCTGCCAACGAGGACAGTGAGCCGCTCCTTGATGTGCTTGCCGCCGTGACAGGGGTCACGAGCAAATGCAAGCGTTTTTTCTAGCAGCAGCGTGTAGAACAGTCCATTTTCGTCGTAGTTGAAAATATCATGCAGTGGGAACTGCTGAAGCAAAGACTGCAACTTTTCATCTCGATATTCGGCGACAACGGAATTGTCGACGGCACCGTTTTTCCCGCACATCTTCTTGAACTTCAAGTCATTGCAGCTCTTGAAATTGCGAAGCCGTTCATTGCTGAAGTTGGAGTCCTTCACGCCCATCTGAAGCGTGAAAACCTCCGCCTTCTGCTTCAGAATGTCGCCTGACACCGGGATTTTCTTAGAGATCATGGCACATTGCCACATGAGCACTTCGTCGATCTTTGGGTAAACAACCTGGCTCGCATTATTCTTTCCAGCCTGGCTCGCATTCTTCTTCCCAGCCCCTGTTGATTTCGCAGCCACTTTCAAGATCTTCGCCTTGTTTTCTGATGAGGTCCGAAACAGTTTGCTTCGAAATTATGAACTCCCTCCCCACCTTTGCCTGTGACCGACCGCATTAGACCTCTTCAATGATGGCGGCTTTCTCATCCATGGTAAGCCTACGAGGGGGCTTTGTGCATTTCGAAGGCACAGACGAAGATGAAGGAGCATTTAGTGCTATCGCTGTAAACGGTGGATCCGCTCAAAAAAAGCGCAGCACAATACAGCTAGGAACTCGGTGAATGCTGAAGGTTCGCAAAGGTAACCACTGAAGATAGCGCGCAGCAGCAAACGATCAACCACAGACACTACCGCAGAGCTGACAAAACATGTGAATGAACATAGTGAGGTTTGGCTTGGCTAAGCCGCTAAGCTACGGCTGGCCACATTGACACGTGCGGTTTTGAGGTTACGGCAGCCGTGGCGCGGTGCGGCGGACGGCGGCGGTGCTGCTGGCCATACCTGCGATGCGACTGACGGGGTCAAGGATATGAAAACAACCAAAATGGCAGTGTCAGTGGTGACTTTGGGTCTGCAGTTACTAGTAAAAACTCCGGCAAATCTGATGCCGAAGGCTATAACTGTCCTGAATTTCGGACTTTTTAATACATTGACTCTATGGGAAACTTGACGATGCCACAGATGAGTCCAAGGAAATGGGCATGTCTGGAATTTCGGGCGTCCGGGAAATCCGTTGTCGACTATACGTCATGGTTGCTTTATTGTAGCTATTTACAAAACTTGAAAACAAATTGCGTGTTGTAGGAGAGTTGAAGATTGAACCTTGGCCAAAAAGAAACCAATATCACTCCAGAAAAGGCTAAAACAAAGCTGGCAGATGATGTCTGCATCATGCATATCTCTAATTAAATATGGCAAAACCTTAACACTATGCACCTGCTGGGATGGCACTGGAACTGTGTACTAAATGGCAGCATACTTGCATTTCCTGATGTGCACTGGCAGTGCGAACAATAAAGTCATTGCGGTGCCTAGTGAATATGTAAATGTTGTGTAGAATACCTACAGCAGGACCTTTTCTGTCTTTCTGATCTGATTCCTATTCTGTTCTAATCTGATTGGCTTTCTAGCTGTCAAATTTAGAAGAAAACGCATGCTGGTTGGGTTTGTGAGGGAACCTAGCGGCGTAGCGATCAACTGCACAAGGTCGAGCACATCTTGTGCAATTAATTGACTGGATCCTATTTGTTGTTGCGAAGTCTTATCTCCTTGGCAAATAATTTAAAGCAAAAAAGTGCATCTTGAGAAAAGGATGATTATATTGTAGCCTAATTGCCTGCATAAGCAAAGAGGACCTATTAACATCTCTGGTAGGTTTTTTGGTCAAAGCCAGTTGACTTGTCCTTTCCTTTGTGCTCTACAGTCGGATTCTCAGCCATCGGAGCAGTCGGTGTCTCGTACTTCCACAAAGCAGCAGGAAGAGCAAGACCTGGCCAGAGGTTGGTGTACATCTTGAAGCATGTTTTTTTGACACAGACACGTTTGTGGTAAAAATGGCTGTAGGCACAAATCAGCTAGCAGTTCTTGTTTTCTATAAGCAGGGTACTGTGATCAACCCATACTTTGTACGGGTGTGTGAATATTCTAAATTTCAAATATTTTTCAAATAGTGTTTGCTGTTTGATTTGGTTTGTGTTGGAATTTTGCTGTAAGTTTGGTCGGTTCACACTTTCCAGAGACATATATACAGTAAATATCTGATCAGCAGTAGCCCCTTCATATAATCAATAAGCTTCACCCCATCACACATTTGTTTTGTGGCAAAGCTGCCTTACTGGCTCTGCAGTGATATTAGTTGAAAAAAATGACGGTTCCACCATGGCGATAATAGATGGGCTAAAGAAACGTAAAGCATGCAACCCACACAGAAGAAAAAGGAGGAGACAGGATAGACCGTCAACAATACCCCTGTCCTCTCTTTTTTTTTTATAGTCTACGTCGGTTGTGTCTTTTATCTTTCTTCAGTGTGAACCAACTGTATCCCAACAAGACATTCTAGTAAGCATGAAAGATGTGGCAGAAAGCGGGGCTCAATGCTGTTTTTGACCTGAAATTTCAACGGGAAGCCCGAAAATGTGGCCGCCTAAGATTTTTAGCATCCTAAGTTTTATATGTTCTTACATTTTGCCGCGTTTATGTGTCAGTCGCAGTGACGGCGAAGCAGCACGAGTGTTCTTGGCCGAGTGCAGAGACTAAGGAGGTAAAATCCTGCAAAATCTGCACCGTGTCGCCTCGAAGGAGCGTGCGGCAATTCAAAAACAAATAAAAACACTGCTGAAAGACGGTTTTATTCGGCTGTCTAAGAGTCCCTGGGCGTTGACTGTAGTACTCGTCAAAAGAAGGATGGCAGCTTGCGTTTCTCTGTTCACAACTGGTAGCTCGACCAGATCACATAGAGCGACTGCTGAAGCGTGTTAAAGATTCATTGGCTAGGCTACGAAATGCATGCTGCTCTTCGTCAGTGGACTTGAAAAGCAGCTACTGGCAAATTGAAGAGTGTGAGAGCATCGTGAGAAGACAGCTTTTGTCAAGCCCGACGAACTTAATGAATTTCAGGTACTTCCTTTTGGTTTAAGTTCGGCACCAGCAACATTCCAGCATTTGATAGACACTGTACTCTCAGGACCTAAGGGGCAAACCTGCTTTGTGTTTCTTGTCTTCTTTGTGACTTTCCAGGAACACTGAAGTTTTTGGAACCAAAAATTGACAAAGAAGTCAAAGTTTTGAAATTGACATATTTGGTTTCCGCAAGTATTTTTCTATCTCTCTGCAAACTTTAACTTACCAGAAAGTGGTAATTTTTTAAATGTCATTCTAACTGTCCAGATTCTTGGGTGTTTACATGCAAAACCTGCGAAAAATGGGGAACAGACTTTGAGGCTTCTTTATAATTTGCCAGCACCTGTATTTAAAGCTCTGCTGCTAATTGATGAGCACATGTGTGAGCATTGCAAAACATGCACACCATGGTTGTTGCTTTTTGAAGAAGCTGTCTGTTATCAGTTTTTTTTTTCATCTTCCTCAAAAATGTAAATTTACGACTGTTCAATTTTGAGGCTTCAATATCTCTGCAGCTAGAACAGATTGTGGGAATCTGAGGCACGCCCGCAACCATTTCGCGGACATTCCACCATGCGGCCGCTCTTTTTCCTTTCCCCATGCTCTGGTAACGGCGCGTGGCGATAGATGGCGCTACACGCGGGTGCGGCCTGTGTTTTTGGGGGTTGCGAGAATCGGCAAGGCAGAGTCACATGCGCGCCGAAAAGGGCTTCTCCTTTGTTGGCCGGTGCCTGGTAAGCACGTGGTTTTCCTTAGTCCGCGTCCCTTTGGGAATCGCCAGACTGTAGCCTGCCTGCATGCCTAGGCATTCCCGGCAGGTATGTTTACTTGAGTGTTAGCTTCCGTACTGCACACTAAGCCAACACGGGTGCCTAGTGCTTGAAGGGGTCGCACCATGCCAAGTAGCACTTGTCGAAGGCCTACGCGTACGAGGTTCACCCTAATTCTTGCCCGGGCCCGGTGGCTATCGTGAGAGTGCGCAGCATAGTCACTAGGGACCTTTTCGTGACAGACGTGCCAAAGCTCGCCGTTGCCAGCTGCAACATGCTCGCGGTCTTCCCTTTAATTGTGAACGTCCGCGTGCAGAGAAGCCTTTGCACTCCACATGCCGGGAGCAGACGTTGTACTGTTGTTTGGAGGTGCCGCTAAAGGCAATAAAGCGCTTGTGTATTGCTGTTAATCGAACACTGTCTGTTTTGCCGTGCCTCGCTAAACGCTTTGTTAGCAGAGCTTGCGCGGAGCACTGCACTACATGTGAGTAAGTGACCGAGATGCGGCCCTGTGGCTCTCTAAGCCTGAACCTGCGGTGATCATCCAGTATGCATAAAGAATGCAAGTATGGGAGTAGAATTTAGAGTGCAAACCTTTTTAATTAATTACTCATTAAAACTGCAACATAATGCCAACTGCTTTCGAAAATATAAAGTTAATTTTGTTTTAAAATAATCCCGAAAGGCCAAAAAATTCTTGAATACTTTTCAATCTCTAGTCATTACTTTATGTTGGCATATCTTAAATATCACTTTAATATGGCATTTTTTTTTCTATGGCGGCCTAAAACAGTAGGGTGTAAACCTGAGTTATTTCAAGAACAAGATGAGTTACAGAAAAAGTAATTAAATATTTGGAATCAGTGGAAAAAATACCTGCATAATCCCATGCAGTTTGATCAAGATTATTGAATAAAGAAAAAAATGTTTACAATAGGTCTGCCTCTTCCACCCCCCCCCCAGGTCACCCATCAATTCATGATTTTTAGCAAAAAAAAAAAAAATAGATAGAAGGTCAAATATGCTTGTGCATGTGTGAAAACTGGACTGTAAAAAAATTATTTTAGTCCAAAATAAGCCTTTAAAGTAATTGGCTGTAAACTTTGCCCACCGCTGGCAACCGCCATTTTGCCACGGCGCGCATGACTAGTCATAAGAAGCAGCGCCGTAGCCTGCTTTCAAACAGCACCTTTCGCACGTGGTGAGTGTTCACTGTGTTGCGAGTGCTGCTTGCCGTGTATTCCACATGTGTTGCTAGTGTTGCGGCATATGTTACTGGTACCATCGCCATGTCGTTGGCCCCTTCATCACCTCACGATCCAGGCAGTGGTTCATCGAGCAGCAGAAGCGGCGAGGATGTGGTGTGCACTGCACATTTTGACTTCGACCTCATCACCACCAGCTCAAGCGTCAAAGACAGGACAAACCCAGATGCTAATGACCTCGCAGTTGTGGCAGACATTGCACATGGCCTTACGCAATGATAAGTAGCTTTATTTGAAGTGTGCCAGGTTCACAAGCGAGCTTGTGATATGGGGGTCTGTCAACATTGCATTTGCAACCATGTGTTACATTGTGCATCGGACATGGTGAAGCGTGCAGATTTTTGTTTGCTAGCATACATACGTACACACGAAGACTTTTGGCACTGAACATGCCTAATAAATAAGTTGCGGTAACAATGTTGCATGTTGAGATTCTTTTTAGCATTGCTGGTTGCGTGCGGCATATGTAAACATTAGCTGAAGCAAGCGGCATGTCAGTAGGTTGCTAGGTTTTCTCACGACATACACTTAGGCTGAATCTTTACTTGAACTGTGTCCATTGCGTTTGGTTCTGCACACTTAACCATGGCATATGTAAACTCCTGCGAGGAGTTTCAGTAAGTTTTTATTCATACGCGTCGCACATTAATGGGGCACTTTTTCTCCTCACACAGGTTGACAAAAATTTTTTGCTTCAAGTACCAGCAACACGTGGACGACGCGATGGCATTGTTTAAACTGCTGCAAGTCATTTAGTTCCATTGGCAAGTTGAATGCAGAGAAAGCTCGATTTGAAGCGCAGTTGGCCATGGAACACGGTAGTCCTCCGTAATGTAAACCATGCAGCAGCTCACCTAGCAAGTGACTCGTTAGGTCACATCTAGCTAGCGTGCCAGTGTTGCCCGCAACTCAAGTGGCTCACTCGTTTATGAAATATTCAATTATAATTTAACGGTATGACCAAATGTGTTCAGATTTTGCCAGCTTGTCTGTGAGCGTACAAGGATCAACTCACACAACACAGACTATGGTCGAAAATTGGAAGTTGTGGCCCCTTCAAAAGAGGACGTGGCTTTCATTACCAACTTATTTTTATTTTTTCAATTGATTTTTATTTTAATTGGCCCACTTTTTGAAATTGTTTTATCAATTGGCACACTTTTAACCGTTTTATGAACGCTACTGCTGAGTTTCATGAACATATCCTTACGTTTTTAGTTACAATATATTTCTCTCCTTTTGTTTTAGGAGCGAAGCTCCGTAAAGCGGGGGTTGTGCGTATCCTGTATGTAGTAGCCACCTCTCATTTTAGTCTTTGGTATATCCGCTGGATGGCAGTACTTGTATATGATGAATATATTGCTACGGGGTGCCACAAGTGAACATTGTAGAAAAGAGGACGATGTTTAGGGCGAGCTCGTGCAGACCGGGCTCCATACTGTATGCCTGCCTGTTTGCCAAAAGTAAAGGTATTTTTCAGACACCTTCTCCCCGTAACAATTTGGTGGAGAGTGCGGGTCTTCCCACAGTCAACACCACAACGAATCTACGCAGCGGACGTTTCCTTGGCTGCCTGTGCGATGCCTGACCAAGACGAGCACGAGGATTCTTCGGAGACTACCCCAACCGTGCTTTGTCCGACTACGCAGCAACCAACAGCACCGCATCTACTAACCGCACCGTCGTCCTGACTCAACCGCGTGACCCAGGCACATTTTCGGGCAGTGACAGTACTGCCGTGGAGGAATGGCTTCAGCTGTACGAAAGGGTGAGCGCTCTTTACAACTGGGATCCGACGCTCATGTTGGCCAATATTATTTTCTACCTTGATGGTACAGCTAAAGT